CCCCCCCCCCCACAATATATGTTAAGTACTCTGATAATGCAAAATTCTTCTCACTTTGTCAATTTATTTGTAAATATTTATGTATATATAAGTTAAATCAATCTGGAAAGACCAGAGTCTTCAAGATTTTGTACAGAAGTTATTCTGCTTTGTTATCCATAGATTTTGCCCGGTTTGCAGCATTTAAAATGACCAGACCTTCTCCTCTTTTCCCTTTCCACCCTAAAGAGTACACATACCTCAGCTAGTCTATACACTAGCTGGTTTCTGGCACTCTGATATTTTTCACAGATTTGCTTTTAACTTTTGCTTTTTTTCCTCTTTCATTTCATGGGCCAGTCCCTCTCATTTAGTTTGACCAAAGGTTGTCCATTTCATTCCCCACTTGAAATTTTAAATGAACTGTCCACCAAATTCTTTATACACAATTCTTTAATATAGTATATACATTAGCCAACTTTTGACCTTAGAAGTGGAAATATTAAGATTTGACAGCTCAAAGAATTGTTTATGATAGATCTTCAACATAAATTTGTCTTTTTACACTCACATATGAATATTATTATTGTAATGAAATCTTTAATAACTTTCAATTTATAAGTCCATGATATGTAAAAGCATACTGATAACAAAAACATGTTTAACTTTTCCTAGTCTGGGCAAGACATAAGTCACTATCTTGCCAACCTACAAAAAGGATGTACCAAATGTGTCAAAGCTTAAGCATGCCATTTGCTTTTCTGTTTTGTTTTTTTTTGTTTTTTTTTTTTTACTTTAAACTCTTTTTATGCTAGAATCTTGGTTTAATTGTTAGTTCATGTTCTAATGTTTTAACTCATTTTTTTCATGAAATGGCGGGGATCGCTTTCTTGTATGAAATGGCGAAATTCGATTTACAGTGTACTTAGGTAAGTTTTTTCAATTCTTATCAGTATCATAAATACCTATACATATTTTTTAAAGTTGAGCAAAAAGTTGAGATTTTTATGTTGGAAAATTTTGCAATGAATATAGGTGGATATGATAAGGAAGAAAAAGCAGCAAGAGCATATGACTTGGCAGCTCTAAAATATTGGGGTCCCACAGCTACCACCAACTTCCCTGTAATATATACTTTTGTCAATTTTGCCTGTTATTATGGGCATTTCAATTATTGCATGGAAAGCTACGTAACAATGAAAACAACTTGAATCTAAACTTGGATATACTTTCTTTTCAGGTTTCCAATTATACCAAAGAACTGGAGGAAATGAAACACATGACCAAGCAAGAATTCATTGCCTCTCTTAGAAGGTTTGCTTTGCCTACTATTATTTCCATTTCTACGGTAATAATGGCCTTTTCCTTTTTATATCAATTATATTCATGGAAATTTCGTTCGAAAATATCAGGAAAAGTAGTGGTTTCTCGAGAGGAGCTTCGATATACCGAGGTGTGACAAGGTACGAGTTTTGTTGCGAGCAATTATCTTGCTCAATTATTATCATAAACCAAACTCAGTACTTGTTAAAGTTTCTCTTATTTCACTGCCACTAAAAAAACAAATATTTTCACTCGTTCAGTCAATAAGCCATGAAAAAGAATCAGACCAAAACGTGTGTTGGGATATATAATATAATTGAGCAGTTAAAAGTGCGGTATCTTTAACCGCCACACTTTTAGATGATATAGTCGCACAATTCAACAATATGGAATGTTCTCCTAATGATGTGAGATGGGTAATTCTTTTATTCCAAGTTTCGTTAGCGGTGGTGACCGACTTCTGATGACCATTGCAGGCATCATCAACAAGGCCGTTGGCAAGCAAGAATTGGCCGCGTTGCAGGGAACAAGGATCTTTACCTAGGAACATTTGGTAACCATTATTTTCTTGATTCGAATTGGACTAAGAACTAAATGAATTAACCATGTTTTAATGATCCATATTCGTATTTATCAACAGCTACTGAGGAGGAAGCAGCAGAAGCGTATGACATAGCAGCAATAAAGTTCAGGGGAGTGAATGCAGTGACCAATTTCGAGATGAATCGATATGATGTCGAGGCTATCATGAAAAGTTCCCTCCCTGTTGGGGGTACAGCGAAGCGTTTGAAGCTCTCTCTTGAAGCGGAGCAAAAATCATTGTCGAGCAATAATCAGCAGCTGACGACTCATAGCAGCAGCAACAGCAACAACAGCAGCAGTAACATCAATTTCGGGGCAATGCCACCGATGTCTGCAATCCCATGTGGAGTTCCATTTGACGCAACTGCTCCTTTCTATCATCACAACTTCTTCCACCACCTTCAGTCCACCAATGCAGGTGCGCCCGATACTTCTGGTGCTGTGACTACAATGGCATCTGCAATGCCATTACTGCCCTCAGGCGCCGAGTTCTTCATATGGCCTCACCAGTCCTATTGACCTAAACAAAGATAGCTATAGTTAGCTAGTTTGACTTAGCTAATCCGTGCTAATATTAACCTCGTCGTTATGGTTGATCGTTTAGTATTTTCATGCTGACCCTTTATCTTCTGACCCGCGCGAAAGAATTAGCGTAGTGTTTAACCGGTATGAGCCAGGTTCAAATGTTGTAGAGTGCCTTCACTTTTTCAATGGCTTATTAAGTAGTAGGTGCATGTTTACAGGTACTGAGGGAGCACTCATTGTGGAAAAATTTTGGTTTTTTTTCTTCTAGTTTCCTCATCTTTTTGAGTTGCTCCCAAGTACCGTATATGAACTTGGTGAACATTTTGCTGGTCGAATTGACATACAAAAAAAAGAAAATGATACAAAGCTCTTTACATTTTGCAGTTAGTCTCTATGTTTAATTTTTATCTATTTTCTTGGCCTTTACTAATCAAGATTAAACGCTTGTATGGTCATTATGATGAGTTGTGCTTTTTGAATTTTTAGATGAGAAGGGTAAAAAGACAGTAGTGAAATGGTATCACCAAGTTAAGAATTACAAGCCGTCACTAATGCTTACACCAGTTGGATGTACATTACACTTTTTGGGTGCAGATTTTTTTTCCGGATACTTCATGAATCTAGATGCCTTATGTATCGGGCTGCTATTTAAGAACGATTTCCGTTTAATAAGCTTTACGTGCGCAAAGACGAAGTAGTCCCAAACGTGTAATGGACACCGAGTGCGGAAGATAAAGGAAAGTAGTGAAATGATAATAATAACAATAAACTTAGTACATTATCACAAATTTTATCCCTATCTTTAAAAAGAATAGACCCTAAAGTAGGGTTGTTCATTTGGATCGGATATCCGAAATTTTAATCGATCTACTCAATTTTTGATATTTGGATTGGATTTCGGATTATGTTCATTAAAATTTTGGATATTCGGACCGGATTGGTATAATTTCAACCAGATCCGATCCGATCTGAAATCCGAAATTATTAGGGCATGTATAAATACTGAACTTTATTTTGGATAGTCAGTGCCTCCTTTACATCTTCCTTCAAGTTATTACCTTTACAATTTTTGGATTTTAGCTATATTGGCACCATAGTACTCTCATAATTGCATAAGCATGAAATTTTCTTGTTGTAACGCCTCTGTTATAAAGAAAATAGACGTATGAGTTTGCAATTTAAGGCATAAAAAGCCGATCCGAAATCCGAAATATTGATCCGATCCAAACTTTATATTCCGATCCGATCCGATCCGATATTAATTCGGATCGGATTCAGATTGCATTTTGTAGAATTTAATCCGAATTCGAAATGAGCTAGATCCGATCCGATCCATGCACAACCCTACATAAAGTAGTGAAGTGGGAGATAGTGATGGAAGAAAAGATAGGCAGCAAGTTGACATCTTATTGAGATTGCATTTTGAATTTCTTAGCATGGAAAATGATGGATGTTATCAACTCCAACAGGCTAAAAAGTCATAACAGAATCAGATTAAGATTGGAAAATGGCCGTTTGGAAGATATACTAGTTAAATCATAAGGTTTGATATTTTGTCAGTTTGAAACCATGCCTTGGCCCATTTCTCCTATGGTTCTGCAAATAATGAAACTAACACAATATCATATTTGAAAATTGTGCACATAAACCTAGGGGAAACTGATACTGTATAGCGACTTTCAAAATAATAGTCGATATATATATATATATATATATATATATATATATATATATATATATATATATATATATATAGCCCGAACCAATTGGTCAAAAAACCTTTGCTCAAGTCTTCAGACCAACATTTTGTTAGGATTCATGTTATATATAATGTATTTTTTGAAAACCAATTTTAAGTGTTTTCCTTAGTTGTAACAAGTGGTGCTATGCTTGCTTGATTACAATAAGCACCCCAAAAAGTAAGACTAATTAAATAAAAATAAGGACAAAATGGCTTCATTTATATTGATATCTTCGTTATTAATTACTCCGTGTGTCCTAATTTATGTGATCGTATTTGATTGGATATGGAGTTTAAGAAAGAAAATTGTATTGGTGGAAAAGAGGCATGACACGTGGACAATCAGTGAGGTGACAAGTGGCACTTACAGTTGGATCAATAAAAGAAAACGAAAGGAGGTACCGGTTCTAACAACTTTAAAAGAAGAAATAGGCACGAGATGAATGAAGACTGTAAAAAGGGAAGATTCACGAATCTGTTATAAATATGGAAGGGGAATCGGCATTAACTTTGATTACGGGTGATCCTCAGTTATTACTGTAGCCGTTGCAATTAAATATGGTAACAGGCAATCAAGGCAATTAATGTCATTAACGAGCCAGAATTAAGTAGGGAAACCGTTACAATTGTGTATCCTTATATAAGGACTCATACCCCATTTTCTATCATCATTTGAATATTTTTGAATATGTGCAATCTGTGTTTTACTTTATTTGGTTCAAGTGTCCAAACTGCGATTCTAGGGGAGATTAACAATCAACAATAAGCTTTCTTACCTTACTTATTATTTTCGTTATTTTCTTTATTCTTTATATTACCAAGAAAATGAAGTAATTTTGGTTATCAGTAACCGGATTTTTTCAAATACTAGCATTGGCCATAAATTCTATTTTTTGGGTTAAACAAAAATGACTTTTGAAACTTGTGGTCTAGAATAAAACAAAATATTTGTTTGGGTATAATCACAATACAATGTGAATTTTTAAAGTTAAATTATTACAAAATATAAAAAATATAATTCTTTTGAAATTGACTGTCACGACCCAAATCGATGGGCCATGACGAGTGCCCGAGTTCTACCTACCAAACACCTCTAAGAATACGTCTAAGATATAAATATGAAATAAGTGTAGGTCATGCATAGCGCCTGGCAATCACGACTGATTCATGTGAATAACATACGCGGGTAAACATGCCCGAAAGACATATGCACATATATATACGGAATACAGTAGAGCGAGCCGACAAGGCCGCATACTATCCAACTATACATGATTGTATATAGACCTCTAATAGAGTGTAAAACTGCATAAAGGACGGGATTGGGCACCGTCATACACATATATGTATATAAAAGTATCATACCAAAACCCAATAGCAGCTCCGAATCAAGTGGAGCACACCAACTCTCGCTGAGCAAGGATCCTAAGAAGGGAGACCGCCAGCCTGTCTACCTGCACTTGAGGGCATGAAACGCATGCCCCCAGGCAATAGGGGCATCAATACGAATAATGTACCGAGTATGTAAGACATAAAAATCAGTATATAAAAGACATGAAAGAAACATGGAGTAAATGACTCAACCTGTAAGTCTGAATAGCTCTGTGAATCATGAAACATTTATAATGTCATGCATATGCGTATAAATGTCATATCATGCATAGGTATATGTGTACATAACATAATCAAGACTCTGAGGGCAACCCATCATATCATCTGGGCCTCAGTGGGTAAAATCATTAACGTATGCAGTTGATCAGGCGGTGGTGCATATATAGCACCATAACCTTTTCCCATACCCCATATACATATACTATACGCATACATAACGCCATCTGGTCATGGGTAAAGATACATGTATAAATGATTGCAATGCATAATGAAGTAAGTCAATAAGATCTCTCGAAATGTCATGAGACCCGTGAACAGAATATATGATTGTAGGACATATGGGGAATCAAGAACATATGCAACCCTAGTACTTCTAAGAATAGAATCATTTGTGAAAGTTGCGTGCTTGCTCGTTTCGCTATATCATATGGATCATGCCAAAAGGAAAGAAGGGATAGCCTTAACATACCTTATCATAATCTGTCCAATAACCACGTTGAACTCGTCTCGTCTCACCTTAATCTAAAACAACGATACTGATACTATCATTAAGTTATAAAAGGTACAACTATCTCACAACGAACGAAAAACTTATTTTATATTAAAATGGGCAACATCTCCCCTATAATATTTACTTCCTCCCAATTCGAGATAACACCAACAACATATATACACCGTTTTCCAACTTATATCCATCACAAAATACAACAAAATAGCCCAACACACCCCAATCACTTCATACACGAAATGACAACTATCGTAGAGTCAAACAACCCGAATATGTTACAAAAAATGACTAACCCATCTTTTCGCCATTGAACAATAGAAAAATAGAGAGTCCAAAAATAATACGAAACATCCTACCAAACAGTCCACTACAAGTTGAATAGCTCAAACTCACGGCTTCCGGTCACCGTCCCGTGAGTTCTAACTATTAGGAAACGAATTTATCAACCTTCCTTGATATTTAAAAGCTTAAAGACAGAAAGTAGGAATTTTCTTAACTCTGACGTACTTTCCAAAACTCAAACTACAAAGAAAAAGATAGGTAATATAGCGATACTTCCGTCGTAGGGATCGTTCTAATTTTATCACTTCTTGATTTCGTACGTGGGATGATCTTCTTTGAAACCCTTGTAGAGAGCTTAAGGGTAAGTTTATGGTCTTATTTTGATCGTGGTATGTGCAAAAATGAAGAAATAGACGACATAAGGGATATAAATATCCACTTTTGAAAAGTCAAAAAGGAGCTAGCATGGCACCCTAACATTGGCCCTTCTTCCGATGCTTATATCTTTTTATTCGGATGGCATATGAACGAACAATTAAGAGAGTTGGAAACTAAATTACAATTCCTTCAATTTGGTATATAATATTTTCCAAAAAGACCTCATATAACACATAAAATTAATTGGTCAAAAAGCATCATTACAAGGCAAATCCTTGGTCGGTTTTTCCGCAACTTAAATATCATTTTTTCCAAACTTTATATTTTATATCCAAACATCATATATAGTCATATTATGACTTTAAACTCATTTAAATCATGATTAACAAGTCTCATATTTATTATACGTCACCTTGGGACGCATATGGTGTAACAATCTTCCCCCCTTAGAAACATTCGTCCTTGAATGTTAAACTCCCAGAGATCTATAGAAATTTTGGAAGAGCCTCCTCTTTAACGGTAGTACTACCAACCTGTCACTCAACAAACCCAACAATACAAAGCCCCACTGGGCCACAATCATCAATAACACCAGTGGCCTCACACGACCAAAGATAGTAACTAACATAAGAATCCAGTATCATATACGTACCTAAAGGTTATGATGTCTCAGTCCGATCCTCCTCCGGAAGCGGAAACAAGTGAGGGTACCTAGTCTTCATGTCTTCTTCAGCTTCCCAAGTCATCTCCTCCACATTCTTGTTTCTCCAAAGTAGTTTAACCGAAGCTACATCCTTAGTTCTCAATCTCTGAACTTGTCTATATAGTATAGCAATGGGAGCTTCCTCATATGATAGCTTCTC